AGCTTATTCAGGGATCACAATAAAAATGTGATCGTGAAAGTAAAAGCCCCTTCCTCCAATCCAATCATGCATGTTGATCCAAACCTCCATTAAAGATCAAGCCATTTGAACCCGGAGGCCCTTCAATGAAGAACAAGCTATATATACAAACCCTTCTTTGAAGATCAAGCCACTTGAATTCCGGAGGCCCTTCAATGGTGGAGTGTTCAAGGCATCTAATTGAAGAATCAGAGGACCATTCAGAGACTTGTACCCACACTGCATTGATACTTTATATGTAACCGGAATTTTTTCAATATATTTTATTCAATTTTCTTTGTTTACAGCAATATTTTGAGATTACTAATTAATAAAGAATTTTCAATGTGTGTTGTGTTGAGTTCTGTAATTTAAGTATATAAATTTCTTAGAATATTTGTTAAAACTATAATTATGGGTTGAATTATAATGAAAAATCAATTCAAGTATAAGAACCACCTCATAATATGCGTATAGGTTTTGACATCATTACAAGAGGGTAAATTGCTAGGAAAAAGTATAATTTAGATTTTGATGATACCAAAAGTTAGGAAATTTTAGTCCCCAATTTATTTTATTTCTTAGACTTATAAACTCAAATACTCAATTCGAATAATCTGAATGGTAACTCGAATAGTTACGTTTTGGATAGTCAAAAGATAGAACTTTGAAGAGTTGAAGACCAGAAGACTTCGAGACGAAAAGTCAAAAAATTGAAGAGTCGAAGAGTGTAAGACCGAAAGGTTGCACATGCCGAATAGTGGAAGGGTCTACCTTTCGAATAGTAGGGGATTATAAGAAAGAGTTCGACTAGTATGGACAACTATTCAAAACCAAAAGGTTATGAGTGTTAAGGTTCGAAGCATCAACTCGAATAGTAAGAGTTAACTGTTCGAAAGGACTGCTCAAGACATTCTTTGAGCAAACAGTTCAAAACTTAAACACAAGAACATTATGAGAAAATGTGGCCAAGGTAAAGAGAGTCCTAGGTACACATCCCTAGAGTGATTTTCCTAAAAAATCCTAGACAATAGAAATAGAATAAAAGTAAAGTTCAGCTAAAAAGGTGGTCTAACGGCTGAAAAATCCGACACATAAAGTAACCTTTCGATTTACATGCTAGTCATTGCCCTATAAATATCTTCATTTAAGACTGAAGAAGAGGTTGGTCAATTAAGAGAAAAATACTCAAGTGATTCAAAAGCTTTCAAGTTCCATTTACGCGACCAGTGTGAGAGAGTTAAAGCTAAAATGCAAAATCCAAAATAGAAGCTTGTGCTGCTCAAAGTGAAGATCAAGTTCAACATCAAGAGCCAAGTCTTCAAGTTGGAAGATCAGAGAATCTTTTCTTTGAAAAACATGTATCTCTACTCGGTAGAAGTAGAAAGAGGCGGATTAAACTTATGTGGAGTTGAAAAACCTGAGAAACTCAAGGTTGGCTTTGTGTTCAAGGCTTGAGTGTTCGTCTTTTGTACTAAGGGGTGTTTGGTTCACGGAATGTTAGATTACCTTAGGGAATGTTAGATTACTGGGAATGTTAGATTCCTGTGTTTGGTTTAAAACTAAGATATGTAAATAAGACAACGGTAATAAGATAAATTGATTAAAACGTCCAAAGCCCAACATTAATAATAAGACAAGAGAATGTGAGATTACCAAAGAAATTGGAGGGTATCTCACATTCCCTTCCAATAGCTAAAAACTTAATACGGAGGTTATCTAACATTCACTGGAAAAGTTACATAACCTGAACCAAACATGGGAATCTTATATTACCAAGCAAATATAAACTTGGTTATCTTATATGACTTGAACCAAACGCCCCCTAAAGGGATTAGTGCAAAACTCCTTAGGAATTCAAGGAGAAGATTAGAGTAGGTTGACTTGGTTGAACCACTATAAAAACTCTCTCTATTCTTTTTACACACTGCATATCATCGCACAAACTGCTAACTTTTGACAAGATTACAAATTACATGCAAAGTATTAAAAAGAGGTTAAAATTTTTATTCCGTTGTGCAAACTCTAAACTCAATGTTTCGATAGCGTGAATGAGTAACCACTCGGTTAGCTTGTCGAATAGTTGAACTTTTGAAAATAATACAATTCTAGTCAACCCCCCCCCCCCCCCCCCCTCTAGACTTGTAACCCCTCGCACTAGGACTAACAACTTCGTCTTACTACGCAAAATACCACTAAAACTTTGGTGTGACAACATTGGTGCTGCTACCTATTTGTGTGCAAATACTGTGTTTCATGCTCAAACCAAATATGTTGAAATAGATTACCATTTTATTCACGACAAAGTACCATCAAATGAACTGCAAGTAAACTACATCTCTACAAAAGATCAACTGACAGACATTTTCACCAAGTCATAACCACAACAAGGTTCAATGATCTAAGGGACAAACTCAATGTTTTCTCTATAAAACCTTCAACTTGAGGGGGCGTATTAGGACTTTGTATTCTAGTTACACTAGAATTCTTTCTCCCACTCTCAGTATTATTGTAAATCTACCTTTTATCATTCCTAACCTGACTAGTCTTTTCTATATAAGACAACGGTTCCATTTTCTATTTAGTGTTGTTGAAACTAGTATTGTTGAAAGTCTCGCACATAGACAACGGTTTTTAACTATTGTCTTTTCTATATAAGACAACGGTTAAAACTTTTGTCTATTAAGTGTTGTTAAAACTTAAAACCAGTGTTGTTGAAACTCACGTGCATAGACAAAGGTTTTTAACCGTTGTCTTTTCTATATAAGACAAGAGTTAAAAACCGTTGTCTATTGAGTCTTGTTGAAACTAGTGTTGTTGAAAGTTACTCCATAGACAACGCTTTTTAACCGTTGTTTTTATATATAAGACAATGATTAAAAACTGTTGTCTATTGAGTGTTGTTAAAAGTTACGCGCATAAACAATGATTTTTAACTGTTATCTTATATATCAAAGACAACAGTTAAAAACTGTTGTATTTTGTCGCACATTCATAGACAACGGTTTAAAACCGTTGTCTTTCACAAGTTTTTATTTTAAGCATAACTAGTAAGTGTCATGTGCGATGCACGGAGTATTATTAATTTAACAAATTAGTAAATTACACTTTTGGTCCTATGACTATAGGGGGCATGTTAATTTCGCTCCATGACTTTTAAAACTAACAATTTAGTCCTTTAACTATACTTTTTTTAGCAGATTTGATCCTTCTGGCCAAATCACCGGTGGAAATTGGCCGGAAAAACTTAAACCTTTTAAAATTTTTTATTCATGAGGACAAAATAGTCTTTTTACGTAAGCTACTTCTTCTTCTTCGCGTTCATGAGCTACGGCTAACAGTTGCCTCGGCTTCCAAGAAAGAACAGATCCAAGAATCGAAGCCCCAGGTTTAGAAGCAAGGTATGATTTTTATCCTCATCTTTTTCTTCATGTCTACTGCGCATTTCTTGATTCATCTTCCCCAAATCGCACAGTATAAAGCTCTATAAGAGATTTAAACTCCCAGAAATATTCTTCTCCCTATTCTAGCCACAACCATCCTCTCAATTCCAGCCACGACCAAAACATAATTATAGTATTGGTTGTGGTCCTGTGGATGATGGTTTATTTATAGTGTTGAAGTAGGTGTAGATGTTCATGTAAATATTGATTCTGAATTTTAAATTTATCTCCAATCAATTAATGTTAGAAACATAACATAATTATTGCAATGTTAATTCTCAATTATGAATCAACAATTATTACTCATTTAATTTTGTGAATTACTTTCCTATCCACTAAAATCTTTTTGCTTATTATTCACTTTGATTTTCTTTTCATCTTTATTTAATTATTTATGATAATTATGATTAGGGGAAATTTTTTCCTAATCATTTTGCTTTAATATATATAGAGATAGAGCTAGAGAAGAGAATAGAAGAGAAGTGATAGAGATATAATATATAATATATAATATATGCAATATTTTATAAAGGGAAAATGACACTTTTTCCCCCTGAGTTATATACTTATAGCACTTTCCCCGCCTGAATTATTCAAGTGGCTGTTTTTCCCCCTGAAATGTTAACTGGACATATTTACCCTTAAAATAAATATTTCAATTATTTTTCTTCTCTAACAAATTATGACCACAATTTGGTTCAAACAAAACAGACACTATTTCAACCAAACTAAAATATTCTAATTACAATTTAGAATCGAAACCCGATATTTAGAGTTTATTAAAATCGTGAACCGGCACGGCTGGTTCATGTTCGGAACTGAAAAAAAAAATAAAATACATTTATTGTTGAATTTAGACTATTTTAAAATAAAAAAAAAAATTAAATAAAGACGGTTCAAAACCGCGAACCGGATCCGTAACCGCCGATTCACGGTTCAGGATCTAATTTTTTCGATTCATAATTTTAATAAACTGAAATCCAAATATTGGGTTTTATATTTGAATCATAACCGGAAACTTTTAATTCGATTGCTATAGTGTCCGGTTCCATTCGAATCGAACCGTGGTCATCCCTACGTATACACAATAATTTGTTGGATAAGAAAAATAAATAAAATGTTTATTTTAAGGGAAGAAATGTCAATTTAATATATCAGGGGGGAAAACCACTACTTTTAAAATAATTGAGGGGTTAATGTGCTTACATGGATAATTCGGGGGGGGGGGGGGGGGGGGGGGGTGGGAGTGCCATTTTCCCTTTTATAAATTAATGATATAGACATGTTATGTTGACTAATTTAATAATTATGTTGATTTGATTTGATTTGTAATTAAAATTACATGAATTTATAAATTAATGTGAATACGATAAATGCTCTCACACTTTGGAAGGAAATTTTTTTCCTAATCATTTTGCTTTAATATATATAGAGAAAGAGATAGAGATAGAGATAGAGATAGAGATATAATAATAATAATTTATCCAAACACCATAAATACAAAAACATCAATTCATTAGTACAATCATCTCCTACAAGTAAAATATTTCAAAATACACAACAATTCATCATCTATTTCAATATACAATGAACAATTCATTAGTACAATCACCAAGTCTAAATATTGTTCACAAAATTCTAATCAAATGCATTCCTACTCTATATGAGTTTATACACAATTTGCACATTCGGGGCGCACTACATCAATATCCATTTGGTCCTAAACAGCATGTTGGAAATACATGTCAAAAATATATTAATAGTAAATATATAAAAACTTTCCTATTATATTACTTAACATAACCATAATATTATTATTTTTTATTTAAGAAGGAATGGGGAAACCCGAAAAGAAATACAAAGTTTACAATGACAGATACACATTACGCCAAATAGGGAGGGCAGACCTATCATCATCTAAGAGATCTCTAATCTCATCAGGGGGATTAGTGAGAGGAGTCCAAAATCATGGTCTAGGGCCATCTTTGCCAAAGTGTCAGCCACACAGTTTTGCTCCCGAAAGATCGGATTGAGTGCCCAGAAATCAAAGTGGCGGAGCTCCTTCTTACAAGCCTCGAGTACATTGTGGGCAGCAATACTAGGAGGTCTAGGGTTGATCAAATAGTCGACAGCTTCGCGTGAATCACATTAAATAAAAACACTCTTAAAGCCTTTAGCTGTAGCAAACTGGACCCCTTTCAGAATCGCCCAAGCTTCAGCCTTCAGTGGGGTGCAGATGCCTAGTTTGGCCATGAAGCCCGTCCTCCAAACACCTGATGAGTCCCTTATTACACCACCGCAGCCAGCCAGATTCGAGTAGGAGGCAACAGCTCCATCTATATTCAGTTTAACAGAGCTTTCAGGAGGTTTAGTCCAGTGAAGCAGCTTCCAATCCATGGGGTTATCAGTAACCTGCGAGCCTTTCGATCTTGAGAAGGCAGAATTGATCTCCTCAGATTGAGATAAGATCATGGAGACTTTAGATTTTTGAGGTTTGATTATGCCCTTGAAGATGGCCTCATTGCGCCACTTCCACAGCCACCAGAGGATGACAACAAAGGTGATGTTATCGTTGCATGGCCTTCTTCCACCACCTTTTGTCAAGAGACCTTCATCAAGCCAAGCGACCAGGGGCAAGTGACGAGTACCTTCGTGCAACTGCGGTAAGGTGGCTTTCCAAACTTCTTCTGTTATTGGACAAAATCGAAGTATATGATCAGAATCCTCAGAAATTATTCCACAGTACCAGCAGTTATCATTATCAGTAAAGCCGTGTTTCATTCGATTCTGATTTGTCATGATCCTGTCATGTCTCAAAAGCCATAGGAATGTACAGATCCGGTTTGGAAGTTTCAAACTCCAGAGATTATTCCATTTCGCAGCGTCGATTTCTGTTGGAGCATTTAGAGCTGCCGCATAGGCTGAACTAACAGAGAATCGACCATTCGCCTCCATGCTCCATATAGCTCGATCATCGACTTGGGAATCTTCATGGAGAACTGCTGTAGCTAGCCTACTCAGATTTCTGGCAAGAAGGATTTGGTCGAGCAGCTCCCAATTCCAACCCACACCCGCAATCCAATAATCTGCCACAGTGTTGTTTAGTGTAGAGGGAGCTATTTGCCTCGAGCCAAAATCTAGCAAAGGAGACTCCTCTAACCAAACATCTAACCAAAATCGGGTTGATCTTCCATTGCTTACATGCCACTTGATTCCACCTTGGATGATAGGTAAGGCTCGAAGAATTCCTTTCCACGCATTAGAGCTACTACTTTTCAGTTGCCAAGAGGACAAGACAGCCGGGTCAGCTCCATATTTAGCTTTAAGGATCTTAATCCAAAGGTAGTCCTCTTCCTGGAAAAATCTCCACGCTAGCTTAGCTAAAAATGCCAAATTCATTTGTTAAAGGTTCTTGATACCCAAGCACTCATTCGCCTTGCAATTGATGACAACATCCCATTTCACCAATTGACACCTCCTTTCACCTTCCTTGCTACCCCAAAGGAAGCCTCGAATGCGCATTTCTGTAGACTCAATTACTCCCACCGGGAGCAACATGGATTGCATGCTGTAATACGGGATGGCCGAAAGAACTGACTGAGCCATTGTGTGTCGTCCGGCTAGCAAAAGGGTCTTGGACTTCCACCCATCAAGGCGTGAGTGGATCCTCTCCAGAATTCCATTGAAAGAGTCCGTACTCAACCTGCCATGCACAGAAGGCAGTCCTAAATGGTTACCCAAGGCTAGGACACTTGGGATTCGTAGAGAATCTATGATACTCTGCTGCATTCCTAGTTCTGTGTTTTTGGAGAAATATATCGAAGATTTCTATAGACTAGCACTTTGGCCCGAGCTAGAGCAAAACAAATCGAGACACCTTTTCATCTCTAAAGCCTGGCGAATAGTGGCCTCCCCAAATAAAACCAGATCGTCTGCAAAAAACAAGTGAGTCAAGTTAGGGGCTTCACGAGATAGTTTTATACCTTTCCATTGTCCATCATTAACGGACTTTTCGACGATGTGACTCAACCTCTCAATGCATAGTATAAACAAAAGAGGGGAAATAGGGTCTCCCTGTCTAATTCCCCTTTCCGGGGTGAACCAGTCTGTTTGATGGCCGTTCCAAAGCACTGCAAGCCGGGAGGTCGAGATGCATTGCATGATATTCCTGATCCAAGACTGATTAAAACCAATGTCCTGCAATGTATCTTTGATAAAACTCCAAGAGAGTCTATCGTATGCCTTCTCGAGGTCAACCTTTAGAACCATCCATCCTAATCTTCCTTTCTTATTTCCTAGGGAGTGTAGAATCTCCTGGTAAGCGAGAGTATTATCTACGATCTGTCGGCCATGGATAAAGCTTGACTGATGAGGACCCACTAGTTTACTGGAAATGTCTTTTAAGTGCAATGTCATAATCTTGGTAATCAATTTATAGGCTACGTTGCACAAGCCAATGGGACAAAATTGCTTGACTTGATCGGGATGTTGCACCTTCGGGATGAGGGAGATTAGAGTGTCGTTGCAACCAGGAGGCAAAGTGCCGTTCTCAAAAAAGTCCTTGACAAAGATGCAGAGAGTTTCACTTGCAGTAGGCCAAGCCTTTTGGTAAAAACCTGCCGTAAAACCATCGGGGCCCGGTGCCTTGCAAGATGCCATCTCCGAGAGGGCTGACTTGATTTCTTCCAAAGTAATAGGGGTGTAAACCGCCTGCCAATCAGAATCAGAAATAGAGGGGAATAATCCATGATGTAGGTTTTGGATAGTATTCCTAGAATCTTCGGAAAAGAGGGTAATAAAGTATTCCCGGACATGTTTCCTAATTGCATCTTCCTCCGATATTACCCTTCCATCCTCATCTTTTAAGAAACTAATTTTGGCTTGGTTTCTTCCAATAGTTGTTGCCACTTGGTAAAAACGAGTGTTACGATCCCCAGACTTGATCCACTCTTCCCTTGAACATTGAAACCACATAAGTTCTTCTTGGTGGAGTGTTTCCTTGAGTTCCTTGCGTAGCCTGCGTTCTAATCTAATTAAGTCTGATCTTACTCTTACGGATAGACTCCTCTGCACTCCATCAAGTCTTGCCAGCAGGTATTGTTTTCTCAGAAAAATGTTGCCAAAGGTTGTCTTATTCCACACAGTAAAGGCTCGGGCCATCGCTGCTATGTTCGTGTTTAAATCTAGATCCTTCCTCCAAGTTGATTGAACACAGGCCTGGAAAGTACTATGCATTACCCAAGCCATGTTGAACCTGAACCTATTGATGAACGGCTGCCGGACAGTTGTAGAAATGAGCATGGCGAATGGTCAGACCCGATCATGGGGAGGTGAGTAACACTTGCAGCAGAAAATCGAAGGTTCCATTCTATATTACATAAAGCACAATCCAAACGAGCTCCTTTGAAAGACGGTGTATCGATCCCTCTCATCCAAGTATAGATCGAGCCCGAATAGCCTAGATCAACCAAACCTTCCCTAAAGATCCAGCTGTTAAAAGCCGAACACCTGGACAATGTGAAAGACTCCGAGCCATTAACTTCACTTCGGTTAGTGATGGAGTTGAAGTCGCCCACCGTTAACCAAGGTCCCTGGGGTTCAAAAAACTGTCCCGATAAGTCCGCGAAGAGCCGCCTTCTCAAAGCCAAGTTAGGGCTGCCATAGACTGCCGACATAAGCCAAGGTAGCGAACCAATCTCAGTCACCTGAAAAGAAATGAATTGTGGATGAGTATATAAAATCTCAATTGAGAGCGTGTCATTCCAAAACAACCAAATTCCCCCTGAATACCCAACCGATTCAACTCTAATCCATTCATCAAAACCAAAAGAAGAACAAATTTCATTGGCCTGCGCCCCTGAGACCTTGGATTCAAAGAGACAGACCAAAGAAGGTTTATGTAAACGCAAAAATTGTTTAAGGATGCGCCTAAACGAAGCCGAGGCAGCACCCTGACAATTCCAAGATAACATAATCATAAAACAAACGGGAAGAAAAACCAAACACGCGTCTATGGACGCAAGCGGGAATCCGCTTCATAATCCTCAAGATCAAAACGATCAACATCCTCTTGCATAGCCAGAGCTTGATGCACCATTGGTTCCAGGGCATTATCGAAGTCAGGTGGGACTTCCTTGTAGGTGTTCTCAAAGGCTGCTACGATGGGAGACTCGTGACGCAAATCTGTCTGGCGTACTGTGTAGGCCAAGACAACCCCTCCTCTATTAGAACCTCTGACCACAGTATGCTCTTGCTCAGCCGCAGCTCTGTTTGGAACATAACCTCTGCCACCCCGGCCCCTATGAGCGCCCCGGGTAGGTGAGCGAGTGAGAATAAGCGTCGGCGGAGGTTCTGGCGGTCTAGTGACGAACTCAGGACCTCTTGATTCCACGCGTTGATGACCTCCTCGGTAGGTCATTCTAATTCTTGGAAGATTTCCCAATTTTTGTTGAACCTCCGGAGGTTTGACCAGAGCAATTGGGCGGGCACCTTCCTCTGACTCCTCAAGGCCATCAAGCGGCGCAAAGCGGGATGGGGAAGCAACTTCAGGGGGTTGGGGATGACCACTCTGTGGAACATTATTCTGCCTCACGTTCCGTAAGGCCGTCCCAGGCTAGTGCGCGACTCTATTTTGAAATCTCCTCTCCCTTCGAGTGACTAGCATCCATGCTCCATACTTCTCTCTAGGCTTTTGAATCGGTTGCTCGGCAGAAGGCATCGCGCTCCCATCAACATTCTCTCACCAGAAACTGCTAGTGGAGGAGCATCCTTCCCACAGAGCTCCATGCGATGACCGTAAATGCCGCATTTGAAGCAAATTTGGTGAATTCCCTCGTATTCGATTGGCCACTCCGTCATATTAATCACAAAATTGCTCATGTCAAGTTCTACACAAACTCGTGCAAACTTCCCCTTCGAGGCCAGACCAGTGGTGACATCAATCTTGATTGGGCGCCCAAGCGATTTTTCAATTTTCTTCAAGAAATCATCATCAAAATACTCAATAGGAAGAGAGGGAAAGCGTAACAATGCCAGGAGCTTGTTTGTCTTGCTATTCCTTGGATCGAAATTGGGTCTCCATTCTTGAGTGACCAAGTAATGGTCAAGAACCATCCATGCACCCCCCCCCCCCCCCCCCCCCGAACTTCACAGCATCATAGTCAGTAAGAGATTCGAATTTGGCTATGAATAAATCGTGGGTCAATGCAATCAGCTCGAAGCCCGCCTCTGTCTTCCACATGCGCTGCAATCGTTGGAACAAAAAGGAGTAGCCAACCGATCTACCCAGCACTTTCAAGATAAGCGATCTACGCCACGGGCGGCGAAGTCTCTCTTTCTCTTCTTTGGTCACATGAATGACGGGGAACTTGAAGGAATTTCCAGCCTCCTCCATGGTGTCGTCGTCGGATTCTAAGCTCTCTTCGGCCGGTTGATATGAAGTCCTGCGATTCCAGGCTTGACTCGGAGTCGCCGCCGGCGTTGTCCAATTGGACGAGTTTGGTGTATTTGCCCTAGAGCCAGAAGGGGTTTCATGAGCAATCTGTTCTTGTGAAGGATGCACAGATATATCTCCAACTTCGCATCCTCTTTTAGCTTTCTTGGTACTCCTCTCCAACAGATCTTGGTCCTCCGGTGACCGATCGGTCGCCGCCGTCGTTGGGTTGCCCGAGAGAGAATCAGATAACATATCCGGTATGTTTTCCAGTGGAACTATAAATCCATGACCACAAATAAATATAATCATAATATTATTAATTTTATAAAATCAATACTATTATTAAAAATAAAATTCTCTTTGTAATTTCACGCTCAAACTCTTCCACCCAAACAATTAATAATTAATAATTAATAATTAATTAATTAAAGAATAATCTATCTATACTATTATTAAAAATAAAATCATCCTTTGTGTTTTCCCGCCCAAACTCTTCCACCCAAACAATTAATAATTAATAATTAATCCGTAAGGTTGGGGTTCAACCTTTTGGTAGAATAATTAATAATTAATAATTAATTAAAAATAATAACAATAACAATAACAATAATAATAATAATAATAATAATAATTATTATTATTATTATTATTATTATTATTATAAAATGGAAAAATATAAAAATGATATATAATTTAATTATTATAATGTTAAGAGTAAAAAATGAAAAATGGAAAATGATCCCTAATTCACTTAATCTATACTATTAATAAAAACAAAATCCACTTTGTGTTTTTGGCCCAAACTCTTCCACCCAAACAATTAATAATTAATAATTAATTAATTAAAGAATAATCTATACTATTATTAAAAACAAAATCATCCTTAATGTTTTCCCACCCAAACTCTTCCAGCCAAACATTTAATAATTAATAATTAGTAATTAATTAAAGAATATTTATTATTATTATTATTATTATTATTATTATTATTATTATTATTATTATTATTATCTATACTATATATAAAAACAAATTTCTCCATTTTAACTTCTCGTCTAAAACATTTCAATACTATTAAGGTTTGCGTAATATTGTAAAATATGGTAATACAATTCATATTCGTTCTACAGTTGTACATTAAAATATAGTAATACAATTCCTAATACAATATTGATTTCTTACTTTTCTATTCGTAATACAACTCTAGATTAAACTTATTAATCGCAATTTTCAATAATAATAATAATAATAATAATAATAATAATAATAATAATAATAATAATAATAATAAATAAATAAATAATAATAATAATAATAATAACAATAACAATAACAATACGATAGGTTATGGGTTTAGTCATCATTTAATAATAATAATAATAATAATAATAATAATAATAATTTAGTTAGAATAATAGACAAGCACCGTTGCTCAGACCATGTAGGTTGTTTGATAATGCTCAATCATCGTCAGAATTAGTTGTTGGTTCACCAACATTTAGTCAATTTAATCACATAGTGAATGGTAAGAAAGTTTGTTATCTCAATTGCCTACCTAACTATTTTACTAAAATAAAATACATTTTTTAATTTTTCTCCAACAATATAAATAATTGCAGTAGCCGATGTGAAGCATTGTACGGTGGATTTATAGTTTGCTCTCCAAGAACACCAATTAATATACCTAGAAATGGTAATATAAGTCACATTGAAATTATTTGCAATAACCTTTACAATTTATTATATACAAATTTTGATTTATTTGTTGTTTTAAATTATTCATTTACTCCAATTAATGTGTCAATTATTTTGTTTTTATTATTTTGTGAAAATATTTCAATTGCTAACAACCCAAATAATATATATCCAATTCATATATAAAATTTAATTTGTATTAGGACATGCATTCATAGGTGTGTATCTAAAGTACGAGTCATTCAATGAAAATGAGCCGGTATTGCAATCAAGTGTTGGTTCTCCAATCATAAATTTTCCTTCCTCAATGTAAATAATTGTAGTAGTTGGTAACGAAGCATTATTCGATGGATTATACATCCAAAGATCATTATCATTGTCAATTGTCATTTAATTAGATAAGAGGGTGTTCAGTTAAACAAGCTAGCTAGCTAAGAGAAGATGCAATGCAGAGACCATTAGAGTGTGACTAAAGTAGCTTTTTCTTTATATATTATTCATATTCACCGTCCTCATGTCTTATTGCTTATTCTTTATATATGTGAAGATGACAAAATTGGTATATATCAACACATAAAATATATCTTCCACACAAATTAAGATAACAATTTATTTCTATAATTAAGTTGCTCGAGAACAAGCAAATTTGTCTAATTTATACAAATCCAAAATAGTGATATATAAAATCTCCAAAGTTTCCGCACCAGATGCATACATCTACACATTATTGGGTATTAAATGAGCGATTATTTGATCAAATTCAAGTAAGGATAACATCATAAAACATAATAGATCCATCCCGTTTATTCAATGACACTCTATAATATTCGATGTTATAATTTATATAATTGTATATCGATCCAAATATTCTTAAAATATTATAACAAATCCATTCCGTGCATCGCACGGGTAAAAATACTAGTTATTATAAAATGGAAAAATATAAAAATGATCTATAATTTACTTATAATGTTAGGAGTAAAAAAAAAAAAAAAAAAAAAAAAAAGGAAAATTAGAATTGATCCATAATTCACTTAATCTATACTATTATTAAAAAAAAAAAAATCCTTCTTTGTGTTTTCTTGCCCAAACTCTTTCACCCAAACAATTAATAATTAATAATTAATAAATTGGAGAATAATAATAATAATAATAATTATTATTATTATTATTATTATTATAATAATAATAATAATAATAATTATTATTATTATTATTATTATTATTATTATTATAAAATGGAAAAATATAAAAATGATCTATAATTTACTTATAATGTTAGGAGTAAAAAAAAAAGAAAAATGAAAAATAATCCCTAATTCACTTAGTAATCTATACTATTAATAAAAACAAAATCATCCTTTGTGTTTTTCCGCCCAAATTCTTCCACCCAAACAATTAATAATTAATTAATTAGAGAATAATAATAATAATAATAATAATAATAATAATAATAATAATAATAATAAATGGTAAATACGAAAAGGATCTATAATTTACTTATAATGCTATGAGTAAAAATGAAAAAATAGAAAATGATCCATAATTCACTTAGAGAAAATTTCAGTACATCTGAGCATTCAGTTCAGAAATAGGTGCAAGGAAGAAGAAGACATGAGTTGAAATGACCATTTTGCCCTCATGAATAAATAATTTTAAAAAAATTGCATTTTTCGGCGACATTTGGCCGGTGATTTGGTAGGGTGGACCAAATGTGTTAAAAATTGCATAGTTACGGGACTAAATTGTTAGTTTTTAAAGTTGAGTACTGAAATTAACAAGACCCCAATAGTCACAGAACCAACAGTGTAATTTTCTCTAACAATTTATTTCTATAACTGA